GTGCTTTTGAACAGAAAAAGAATCGCAATTTGGATTGCTTTAATATGGTTTCTAAGCCTTTACCCGTTGGTAACTGGTTATACATTTGGCCATAACCAAATGGACAAATTGAATATAACATACGATTCTGTATTTATTATAATTGCTTTGGTTTCTACTTTGGTATACATAATCACCTATTGTTCAATAAAAAAGCATGGACGGGACATTTCTCGACAAAATCGTTCACGGAATCGAGCTTTAGAAGAGGAGTTCTTGAAAACGATCATGATTGTTGCATTTATTCAAATGCTACCCTTGTTCCTGCAAGTGTTGATGGTTTGATTCATGGCTGGTCTGGTGAACTTTCTACTTTAAATTTACTTTTATTTGCACTTTACCTTTTAAATTTTGCAATAAATCCCTTCTTGTATATTTGGAGGATTGGAAACTATCGACGAACATTCAGTTTAATTTTCTGTGTGAAATTTTGTTAGAGTGTGCCATTAAATCAATAAAATGGTGAAACATTTTTAATTTTATCGGCGCTCTGTTCATACACTGCATGAAGTAAGAAGTGTAATACCATAGGAGACATATGCATGCTAAAATTTAATTATTTTTATTACTTGTTGTGCATGTTTGTTACATATACATGTCAAGTTGCCAATAACTAATGATGAAGTTGATTTTTTTTTGTGTATTGATACGTGTATATTGTATTTTTATATATTGATACGTGTAGATTGTGTAAATCGGACTATTGCGCAAATTATTAAGGCAATTTTCCATTGCAGTCGCTTTGCCCGCGCGGTCGGAGCGGGCTTTGAAAATCTGCTCACGCAGGCTTGACGGGCTTCAAAAACAATGAACGCTTCGCCCGCGCGGGCAAAGCAAAAGTTAATGGATAACGGCCTTTAATCTCACACTTAGTTAATGCGGAATTTTCCCAGGCAAAGTGAAAATTTAAAATAACAATAATCTGGTGATAGTATCATATAGTTACAGTAAAAATACTGCATGTCATGCATTTAGTTTCCCAATATTATGAATGTTTCTTTATGTCTATGCAAAATGTGTAAGGACGACTATGTATATGTAACGGAAGTTGTATGAGGTACCAGTTAGTAATTGTGAGTATGCTGTAATAAAGTGAAGTGAGCATGAAAGCTAAAGTGGTGTATGCTACAGATATGCATGGGTTAAAAAGCATAGCCGCCGGGAGGGTTGTACCACCCCAATTCAAATTGTGCAGTACGATGTGGGTGAAAGCGGGCTGTGTCAATGCCAAAGATATTTTTATAGCCATCCAGTTAAACATTGCAGTTCCCAACAGCCCTGCATGCATTTTTATGATCTGCATGGTTTGCAAGAATACATATTCATGATGACGGATAGGATTTACACTCGTTTCCAACTGACGTAATTATTGACCAATTTCTAAAGTTTATTCTCTTTCAATTTATTTTGTTATTTGGGTTAGAGTTGGGGTTAGGGTTAGGGATGGAAGTAGGGGTAAGGTTTGGATTAGTTATATTATATATATATATATATATATATATATATATATATATATATATATATATATATATATATATATATATATATATATATATAATATAATTCAGTCAAGGTTTGAATGTTTGCGTCGCTACTCTGAGTTTCACGCTTTACGCGATCATCAGGCAACTATATATATATATATATATATATATATATATATATATATATATATATATATATATATATATATATTTATATCACACTTTCGTCGGTTTTCTTTGTTCGTCCGAGGTTTATAACTAGCTAATATACCTTGAATAAATGATTAGATTAAACTTGTAGACAAAACGCGAGAATTTTTCATTAAAAATTTTTGAAAATGACAAAATATGTTGGAAAACCTCCGCAAGTGTCAGTTATAAACCTCCTACTCGGTTTATAACTTTTACATATATAAACAGTAATATTACATACCCTATTTTATACTGTACATCAATAATTAAAAATTCCTAGTTATTGAATTCTCTAGGGTCTATAATTGTTGCTATTAAAAAAATTGTGCCTATTGAATTCGATGGAGCCTAATTGTTCCCATTAAAAATTAGCAATTCGAATTAAAATCAAGAGTCTTAAATGGTTATTGTTCTCCCTATGCAACCGTTCATGACGTTATGCGATTTCTTTTGTATTTCGAATGCTTCAATGCATTTCCTTTCGTCAGCAAATTTGACATTTGAATGTAAGATTTTCCAAGTTATATCATTATGGTTTGGTGCATGTCCTGTTTCTTTATGTGAATCCAAGTGCTTATAGACTGTTTGTTTCTCCATTGTCAAATGTTCCTTAATGCGTGATCCTATTTTTCTGCCCGTTTCGCCAATATACATGCAAGATTCCACAATGTGAGCAGGTGATTTCATAGACAGCATTCTTTCTTAAACATTGGTTAAAGATTTCTTACAAGATTTACACCTCTCACATTATTCCATACAATTCAATTTCTGTTTAGGTGGAGCAAATTTTCTAGCTGATGGTGAACCATTCCTATACTGTAATCTGATGTTACCTATGCCAGATCGTCGTACCACCGGCTGCGCCCGTCTTTTAAACTCTTCATCAATAAATGGTAATTTTTAATAAATATATCTCATCTCTTCATCTCTAGTCGAATTGGAGTTAGCAGATCTTCTTATAACGTTTCTTGCGAATTTCCTAGGGTATTTGTTGTCAACAAACAATTTTAATTAGTAACTTTCCGGAGGGATTCTTGCCGTGAGGTGGGATCTGTTGAGCAAGATATGGCTCGCTTAGTTTCTCCTATGACAATAGCGCGTTTGGAAGCGATAGAACCATGCATGGCTATCCCACAGCGTAATACAGAGACTGTGAATTGGCTTTATATAAAAAGCTTTTGAGAACTGTTTGATTTCCCTGTCAAAGGAACCATGGTATCTAGAAATGGTAACTGATATATTGTTTGGTAGCTCTAATGTAAATTTGATGTTGTCATTAAGTTCATTGGCCTAACTTAGATTTTGATATATTAGAGTTGTATTTTACTTAAAAATTCACGGAGATATTAATGTTCAAATTCGGGAGCATATTTTGGGATGTGTCTAAAATTAGCAAAAATCGGCATATCAAATATTAACTCCAGCGTTTGTTTGCTTAATGACATATCAGGCTAACTTGTATTTCAGCGAATTATCGTTAGGGTTTGTAAGGGATATGACGTAGATTTAGACATCTTACATGTAAGTCTTAGCTCATTGTTTCCTGAAATATGAACGTTCGAAATTATGCAAGTATAATTAATATTAGGTCTTCACAAACTTAAAAGTACATGAAAGACCATGGAAGGCAGGCGCTTAAATTTTTTTTAAATGGCCTAATTTTTTTATGTTTTTAATGGGTTCAAACAGACTGAGTTGATTATTTCTCGGTTAGACCAGGATGAATATTATTCTTTATTGAAGGAAATAATATTGCTTTTTGCAAATACACATTACCGTATCAACGCTACTATTTTGTTACGTTTTGTTCCAAAAATGTTGCATGTCTCTGGGGAGTTGCTTAATTGTTATGTCTTATGGAGTTATATGGTTTGATTGTGTTTCATATAATTCTCAGTTTACTCTGAACTTGCCAAGATTAAGAAAAGGCAAAAGAGTTTGGGTGTTCTTAACAAGATTTCAGAACGTTGCAGAAGTTAGAAGTGCTTCACAATTCCATTGTGACAGCATGCCCTAATTCAGAACTACGAACGATCCATGACGATCCTTCGCGATGCAGTGGTCTCATAAAATAAGGAAACTTATTCGTGCTAGGAACACACGCGAATTTCGGACGAATAAATCTTGCTTGTATTTTGTAGATATAATAATACTTTTTTTTCATAATAAACAATTTGTCAAGTGTCATTTATTTACTGGTAATAGTGCATGTTTCAGTCGGGCAAATCTTGATTAATATTTGATACGCCGTTTTTTGCATATTTCAGACACATCCAGAAATATGCTCCCGATTTCAAAGATTAATATCTCCGTGAATTTTTAAGTGAAATACAACTGTAATATATCAAAATCTAAGTTAGTCCTTCCTCTATTTGATGCAAAGCTTTACCTGTTTAGAAGCTATTACGAATCAAACCGGAGTACTTTTTTTTGGGACACCCGGTATATATATATATATATATATATATATATATATATATATATATATATATATATATATATATATATATATATATATATATATATATATATATATATATATATATATATATATATATATAACTATATATATATATATATATATA